AAAAGAGAATATAAGGTTTACGGTTAAACCTTTTTTTTTTTCCCATATAGCTAATACAAATCTTCGCATATATGAGTAGAATATATAGATACATATATCAATGATTGAATAATATAAAATTTTACATAGAATAAAAAACAACATAATTGAACTAAAATATCATTATTAAACTATTAGCTAGTGCCATATAACCAATTGTAGCCAATGTTTTTGTACAAGTTTCAAACCTCTTTCACCTAATAGTTTAGCTATACCAAAATCGCTAAGATGAGCCATCATATCTTCATCAAACAAAATGTTGCTTGGTTTTATGTCACAATAAACAATCGGAGCATAAGTACCATGATGAAGATAATCTAATACAATGGCTACATCAACCATTTGTTGGATATCCAAACAGTAATTATGAGAGTACAACCATCTATCAAAACTTCCATTTGATATGAATTCCATTATTAGAGACTTGAAGTCACCATTTGAGCAACTACTAATAATCTTAATGAGATTGCGATGGTGTAAATTACACATAGCAGCACATTCATTATCAAACCCCCTCAATGCTTCTTCCATGTCTGTGTGAAATACTTTGATAGCAGCTATCTTTTCATTTGGAAAAACTACTTTGTACACTGATCCAAAACTTCCAAAGTCAAGAAGGTTGCTCTCATCAAATCCATTTGTACCCTATAAAAACTCATAATAGGGTATCCTACTTCATGCATCCAAATTTGTTAAATCCCTTTTGGTTGTATAGTTAGGCATCATCTCTGTTATGCTTTAGAAAGATAATGCTTGTAACAACTAAAATGAAAAACATGATAGGCACTAAGCATTTTATCACCAGTATCACTTTATTTAATATGTGCTTGTTTCCTCCCTTGCATGGTTGGACCTATAGTTGTGATTTTCCACAAAGATCTTTATTCATCATAAAAGATTGAGTAGTAAAATTTTGAAAAGATCACCATTTGGAATTTCTCCATCCAATAAATTGTAGGAAAGATCAATATATTTAAGATAGTACAGTGACTCTAAGGACTTTGGAATCACCCTAGACAAATAATTATGAGAAAGATCTATCGACTCAATACTTATCATACCACTTAGCGATCCAGGTATACATCCTTGTAATTTGTTGTGAGCCAAAGATAAGTTTTGCAAAGTCTGCAACCCACCCATTGTTGTAGGGATACTTCCTGAAATTTGGTTTCTTGACAAATCCAATAGTATAATTGCTCTCAAGTTTGATACCTCTGGTAAAATTATTCCACTCAATGCATTGGAGGATATATCTAAAACCAATAAATCTTTGAGACTCCAAAGAGAAGAGGGTATATGAGAAACAAATTTGTTAAAGCTAAAATTCAACTTTTGCAAAGAAGTATTCCCAAGACATCCCAAAACTACTCCCAAAAACATGTTGTTGGCAAGATTCAACTCACTTAGACTTTTGAGTTGGTAAAGGTTATTTATAATGGAACCTTGTAATTTGTTGTTGCTCAGGCTTAAACGTTGAAGGCTCTGTAATTTATCAAATGTATATAGAATCAAACCAGTCAATTCATTCCCATCCAAAGCTAAGTCAACCAAGCTTGTTAAATTTCCAATTACATTGGGTATAGCTTTGGTAAGTTTATTTGATGACAAGTGCAACGCAATGAGCTTAGAAGCATTTGATATGCTGTTTGGAATTTGTCCAGTTAGTTCATTCCCATCCAACCTTAACTTCTCCAAATTGGAAGGCCATTTCCTAAATATGATGGGAGAACGCTAGAGAGGGAGTTGCTGCCAAGGTTTAAAAATGTTAATGTTGAAATGTTGAATATGTTGGAAGGAATAGGTCCTTTGAAGTAATCACTGGATAAGTCTAATTTACCAAGTTTATCAAGACCGCCCATCCCTCTGGGTACAAAACCTGGACAAAAAAAATTGATGGATGAATAACATTCTAATAAAAAAAGCTACTACGGAAAAACGGAGATATAATAGTTAATATGTTTTATATACAACATGTAAGGAATAAAAGAATACATCATTATTGATATATGTATTATATAAACCAATACATATTCTAATAAGATCCGCAATGGTGTACAAAAGACTACTGTTTTCTGCAAACTTAATTTGATGTGTTTAATATCATAATATGACCATGTCCTGATTTATTTAATTTATTAGAAACTTTTTAATGATTTGAAATTTAAGTATTGAGGTTGGACGAGTTCTTTTCATATATGCGTATTGAATGATTTTTGTTCGAAAATGATATAACAGCCCCCCTAACAAATATATAATATGCTATCTATGGTGGCAAAAAAGAAATACTACTATATATATACTATGCTATCCATGTCTCAAATTTGTGCATGAAAACACTACAAAAAAAACACCCAATTACCGACAGAATTACTGACGGACTTATCGATGGAATACAAAATTACTAACGGAATTTGTGACAGAATGAGATTACCGACGAAAATCATTCCGTCGGAAATTCTTTCGTCACTAATTTCATTTGTGACGGAATCTGAAATTCCGTCAAAAATTCTTTCAAAAATTACCGACAGATTTGTGACGAATAGTTTCCATCAGTAGTTTTGCACCAGTAATTCCATTTTTTTATTATTGGTTTTCTCATATTATACTATTTTATTTTGATTAATTGTTTAGTTTGTGAAGAGAAAGTAAAAAGCAATTGAATTTGTTGAAAATCAAGTATATTGTAATTAAAAAATATATAGTCTTTCATGGATCCTGGATACATAAAATGTCAAATGTCAACAACTAAAAGACATACATAATAACCCAAACTGTCTAATAATAATGACCCTCAATTGTCATTTTCTAAATTTATATTGCTGCTAGATGGCTCAGATATTCTAATTCTCATTCCCTCTAATGTAGACATGATTTTGCTGTAATTTTGTTTCACCTCTTCATGCTCTTGTTAATTTGTTGATTCTCCTGTGTAAGCTCTGTTATCTTCGTGTGTAAACTCTATTATCCTCGTGCGCAATTCAATTTCAACATTAGGATTGATGCTAGTGCTGTTAATGGAAGGAGAAGATCCCTGAGGAGCACAAATATCATCATCTGCCTCAGATCCAAATCCATAGATGCGGCCCTTCTTGTTCTTGCCACCTATAACGTATAACCATATATTAAATTCTTCCTGATTAGATTGCACACTTGGAGAGCCTCTCTCAGAACTTAATTCTGCCTTTCTCCTTATGAATGCATCCTATAAAACAAAAGGTAATAGGAGCATATGAGACAAGTGTATGGTTTATTTAAATAAGAATTCACAATCATGCATCACTAAAAAAATAAATAATTCATCATGACATAATAAAAATTTAGTAGTTATGTTAAGCAAAACCATAATTAATAACAAAAAAATAAAAACATCCCACTTTTGTATGATGGAATGGAAAAAAAAAAAAAAAAAGAATCTGATGCCATGACACATGTTGAAGCTTATCCCAGAACACATTGATTTAGTAATGAATTTCAAGACATGTTTAATTTAAAACTATAAATTTTTCTTCTAGCAAATTGGTGCAGCAAAATATGAATGCCCCGTGTTTATATATATATATATATATATATATATATATTTAAGGCAAGATCCTTTTCAACTTAATCCCAACTTCAAAAAACTAAATCCAGAACAAGTTAAATCTAAAAGAATAAGAGTGATATTTAGAAAAAAACAATCTTCAAAAATAAAATTGCACCAAGAATAAGAAAGGATACCATAATTCACTAATTTTTATAGCAGATGATGACATTTACCAATTCTATTAAATTGAACAGTATGCAAATGTAACCCAAATTCAGCAACAAAGCAAAGTACATTAGAGAATAGCGTGTGTATAACTTCTATAACTTCCAATAAGTTAGAAGCAATAGATTTGAAGCCTAACACTAGTTAGCTTTCGACAATCAGCACAATCCAAATGATTTAATATGACTAAAATTTAATAAGACACACACTACAACTAGTCAGGCCTCCGGTCATCAGCACAAGTTCAGATCCAATATGACAAATATTAGAAACATATACTCACATGAGCTAATTCTGCTCGCTGATCCGCAAATTTTTCGGTTTTATCACTTAAATGCGTCTTCTTGAATAGTTCAAACAAGATAGGGTCTCTTCCTAACTCCAGAGCCTGAAATTATTTACAAGTATGTATTAGACATGCATTAAAAAATAATGATTTAATTTAAAGATAAATTTTTACCAGCCTCCTCTTATGCTCAGTATTAGGAATACTCCCACCTTTGTATTGAGTGCCTCTTATGGTTGAGGCTTGATTGGCTTTAGCAATCTCACATTTGACCTTATAATCTTCTGATGCTCATATTCTCTCTAACTCATCCATCACTTGACATGGAATCCATTTAATCCTAACTTGTTTTTGATACAAGTCTTGCCTGACAGTATGCATTGTATTTTTTAAAATTTCTGCGCACTTTGTATTCCAAATTTTCTTAATGGCATTATCATACCATGGCAACCATTTATATTTTCGCTGCATAAATGAGTAACAAAAAAAAAACATAAAGTAAACATAATGAGAGGAAAAAATTGAAAACATAAATAATTAGATATAAGATTTACCGCCCATTCATCAAACCACATTTTCTTGTCCTCGAGGGTGTTGCTTTCCAGCTAGAACATGGATGATCAAATTTTTCTTGAATAACAGGAAGAATATTTTGTACATTAGCAACAGCAGGATTAAACCTAATTACAATTTTTTAAAAAAAGTCATTATAAATATTGTTAGAATGGCTTTAATAAACTAAATGAAGATGTGAAATAATACAACCTTGATAACGACTTATGTTTTCTTTTCAGGATATATCCATATTCGACCATCTGAGAAATCATAACCGGATGGTGAAAAACTAGTAGGAGGGGCCTGTGGAGTGGGGGGATGTGAGTTTTTAGTTCCAGGAGATGAGATCTAAGGAGATGATGCACCAGGTGATAATGAGGGTCTACTATCAGATTGAGTCATCATTGGAGATAATAAAGGTGACAATGAGGGTCTGCTACGTTCTTCTTCATTTATAATTGGAGGTGAAGTGATCAAGTTTGCGCTATCACGCTTTAAACCACGACCTGCCATCTACATATTCAAGAACCTTGAGTTAGTAATAATAAATAATCATCACAAAACAAATCTCAAGTACAATAGTATCCCCCCGGCCCCTGGTTGAGTCAACGGCATTCCACTTGAACATTTGAAAACAGGCCCTGTTTGACTTGGATTTAGAATTTTAGATCCCTTCTCTGTGACTTTGCTTACCCTGCTTCACAAGTACAATAGTATTCCCTGGGGATAACGTGTGTGTGAGAGAGAGAAAGTATAAACTACTTGATATATCTACCAAAAAAAAAACAAGAGGATGCATGGTAGCTTGAGAACTAACGGCAACAACCAACCAAAAGAACGAGAGAATAAGAAAAAGTAGAGAAGCAGGGATGCAAGACCCACCCCCACCGCCTGCCACAGAAAACTTTCTCCGTTCATGCTAGCTTTTGAATTAATCGCCTGTCTTTTAAGTTTGATATCACTGACTAAAAAGAGAATACTCTTATTTATTATTTAATATATAATAAATCCTATAATTATCCAATGTGATGACAACATACGAAACAATAAGCAGATCAACAAGCTCCAAGTCTCTCTTTAGTTGAGAAGGCAGGTAAACAGTACACACACGCACACTCCGTGTAACATTGCAACCCTTGAATTCTGGATATATACGAGCATACATGGGGGAGCCTCTTTCTTCCAATAAATTAATACTTATAAGAAGACTAACCATGCAAGACAACATATTGGCCTCTTTAGTGAGAAGAGCCAAAGGTCAACTACCGGATATGTCAGGGATATCTGCCAGAGGACAAGTTATTCAAATGCCGAAAACACAATTGTGCAAAATATAGTTTCTTATTTGAAATCTAGCTGGCTTTTTAATATACAAGTCAAACACTTACGGTCAAAACTATCAGATGTTACACAACACGTCAAACCTATAAATTATAATAACAAAGCTTCCCCCGTCGGATAACCTCAATTATAAACAGTGCATTCATAATAAAATGTTCAAGGAACCAGTTAGATGAAGCAGTTATCTCGCCTAAATCAACAGCAGATTATGAACCAAAAGATCACTGCATATACGGAAAGCCAAGCCCGGATTCTTATACCACTTTGAACAAGATGGGTCTGTTTCTTATACCATTTTCTTAGTGGTTAGCATGCTATTGCAGTCCAATGACAGGTGCAAGAAATTAAACATGTACTTTTCACAGTATTATTCTTATTAGAATTATTATAAAATATCAGCTTTAATTTGATTCTTAAAAGCAGGAAAATGAAACCTTTCTTGAAGGAAAAACCACGAAGCAGAGACAAGTCACAGTAACCTAAAATGGCTCGGGAAGAAGCTCAAACCATCAAGACGCACAATTGACCCATGCACGAACACAAGGCCGTGAAGCACAGTGGAGATGACGATGGTGAAGCGAAGACGAAGAGGAGATGCGGTGGCTGTGTGTGAAGCTGGAGAAGAAAGCTCTGACTGACTAATGATGGAGAGATGCGCTAGATGAAAGCAACAGAGGTAGACGAAGGGTGGAGAGACGATGATTAAAGATGAAGTGAGAGACAAGATAGCCGGGCAGAGGAGGAGTGATGCGAGGCCACTGGTGGCTAGAAGAAGAGAAAGATTTCTTGCGACATATGAGAAGGCAGAACTGGGGGCGACAGCTTGCGTATGAGAAGGCAGAGAGGAGAGGGATTAGGGCTCAATGGAGGGAAGGTCAAAATTTTTGGAGGGAAATGATTTTTCACAACAACAAAAAAATCTAAGTCATACTATTTAAGTCTTGCGTGTGTCAATTACATCCGGCTTGCGTATGTCAAAATTTGCTTTTATAAATTATAAGTTGAAATTTAAGTCTTACCCCTGCTTGGATGAGAAGAAAAGTTGGGAAAAAAAAGAAAATGAGAAGAAAAAACAAAAAAGAAAATGTTATCACTCATCCTGCTTGGATGAGTGAGGGAAAACAAGGAAGAAAAAAATGTATAAATATTAGAATAACTAAAATACTCTTATTATAATTAATTGGCAAGGAAACTAAATAATTTAGCAAAAAAATTATTTTTCTTTGTAAAAATAAAAAAGGAATAATTTTTGAACTTAATTACAAAACCAGAATTGTCTTCACCATCAGGGACTCCCACGGAGACGTTGTTACTGCTGCTGCTCGAGGTTTTCTTCTTCTTTTCTCTGCCTCTCTCACTGCTTTCTTCTCCCCTTCCTTTGCTCTATCATCTTCATAAGCTTATCAGACATGCATAGGTTCTTCATAAGCTTATCATCTTCCGTTGTTGAAGCTCATGTGCCCATTGTAACCTTCTTGGCAACGAGTCCTTCTCTTGCTTCTCTTGGGAACCCATACTTCTTTTAGATTGCACAGAAAGATTCTGCTCAAGTGAATGGCATTAGCGTGATCGTGCAAGCTTTTGGGTGGACAGAAGCAGTGCTCATTTACGTCGACAATGACTACTGGAAAGGGGCCATACACTCCTTAACTAATGCTCTTGAACAAGCCTATGTTCGAATCCCATATATGAGTGACACCGTCGACCGCGGACGAAGAAATCAAAATAGAACTCTCCAAGTTGATGGCCAATCAAACCAGAGTGTGCGTTGTGCACATGTCCACCAATATGAGTGCCATTTCACCGTCAGCTGCGGACAAACTGTGACCACTGGACCAACGACGGTGAGAGCGTTTAGCGCTGGAAAGAATGAGGACGAATGCAAGCTTGGCGGGAGAGGGCAGTGAGGGGAATGAACTGAAACAGTGAAAATCTCTCCATTTGTGGGGAGAAATTTTGAGAGGAAAATGGAGTATGGGGTCCATTATATTTTTCTTCCCACTTTTCCTTTCTCTCCTATTTTCTTTTTTATCCAAGCAGGGGAAAACTTCATTTCTCTCCCATTTTCCACTCCACTTTTCCTTCCTCTCCCATTTTCACTCAATCCAAGCAGAGCATTAGTATTTTTCACGCACAAGAATAACTATATTATATTTAGAATAATATTATAGTGTTTGGCAACTTTTTTTAATCAATATCTAGACAACTTGATATTAATGCTGATATATTTTGTTGATATAATTTGATTTATGTTAATTTGTATTTAACTTTAAAAAAAAAGAAGAAGAATCAGCTTTTCAAATTAATATATTATTATATGATTTATTAAATATCAGTTTAATTTTTCCAGTCTAATTTGAAATAATTTGATCTTTTTCAGTTTAAAAATATCCATATCTATTTAAAAAAAGATAAGATATGTATACATAATATAACATTGACAAGATCAAATTACATGAAGATATGGACTAAAAAAGGAGAATAATGTTGTCATGAATATACAAGAGATGATACTTAAGATTTATAAATTTCTCACATTATAATGATTATTGCTGTAAATTACTGTAATGTACAATCAAATCATTAAGCAGTTTGTTTAATTAATAGGAGTTGTAATTTTTTAATCAAGGGAGAATTAGAAAGAAGGAGCAATAAGCAGTAATATTTATGAGGGAAGATCATAAAATTATCTAAAAGGAGCAAATATTCAAATATAAATTTAAAAATACCACATTGCCCCTATCCCCTAACCTCCTATATTTTTTTATAAACAATTTAAAATTTTCTTCTTAAAACCTTCATAGATTTTAATTGAAAATAAAAGTTATATACTTCTATCAAAATTTAGATTATTTTTTAATTTATTATGTGCATGATTTTAAAAAATTCAAAAAAGCTTGTATAATTTATTTTCTTTATTTAATAAGAAATTTATATCAGATTTTCAATAAAAATATCATGTAATGTTAAGAAATTTAAAAAAGGGAAAATTGGGGATAAATCCCCTATTGAAAATTTAATTAGCAAATGGGACCTAAAGATTTTGTGCAACTTAACTTCTTTTATGTGCAATTTATCTTTCCTTGTGTGCAATGTATCTTTTTTTTTTTTTTGTATAATGATCTTCCTTTATGTGATGTACAACTCACTTTCTCTTTGTGCAAATGAAATTCTCTTATCTGTAACTAATTTCTCACATCTAAATAATATTTTGTGCAAACCATCTTCCCTTTGTACAACTTATCTTTCTTTGTGTACAACTAATCTTTTCTTGTGCAATCAATCATCCTAGGTCCCATTTGCCAATTAAATTTTTAATGAGGGATTTATCCCTAATTTTTCCTTTAAAGAATTCAGTTAATTTATTATAATGTTATAAGACCCCTCCTCAAAATCATTTAACAAAAGCCACGTAATTATGTAATAAAAAAATTCATGTACGTTAAGAAATCTAAAGAAATCATTTTCTTTGCATTTTTAAATATTTCTTATATAATGAATTAATAATAATCATTTTAATAAAATTATATAATTTTTATCTTTAATTAAAGTCTATGATGATATTAAATAATTTAAATTTTTATAAAAGAAAAGAAAATTTTAATTTCTACATGACTGAACAATGTTTGCATTTTTTTAATTGATTTTATGTAGGTTGTAAATTTTGAGAGAAACTATGTTTAATATATTTAAATTTATTAGTTTGCATTAGTTTCGAAAATAAAATGCGAGAGGAAATATAGAAAAAAATTTAGGAGGTTCGAATTAGAACAGTATAGTATCTTTAAATTTATATTTGAATATTAGGTCCTTTAAATAATTTTAATTTTTATTATCCTTTTCTGTAAATATCACTCTCTATTGATCCTTCTCTCTAATTCTCCCTTTAATCAAAGTATCGAATCCAAATCCTAAAAATATAACCATGTTAAATATTTGGTTGGAGAATTTTGTTGTTCTTTACAGTTCTATCAAACTCAATATTAATATGCTAGCAATATTGTTATAAACCATTCTATATAAATTTTTACTTCGCACTTATTATATTCTTCATATGTCTATTCTTTAAATATTAGTAAAATTCAATTTTGTCTCTCTCATTTATTCTTCTACATTAGGATCAATAATATTCAGTTAATTTGACATAGTCATAATCAACCAATAAGTGAAGAAATAATTTTTTTCATAGTTAAGTCAATCAAGTGCATAGATTGAATTAGTATAGTTCACCAATGCTTCCACGATTTCACTACATCCCTTTACCAAATTTTTGTTGGTTTCTTTCTTATACAAAATAGTCTTTTATCTCATGAAAAAATAGAATTACAGCATTTTATAAGAATAAAGTTGTAAAATTTCTAATTACACAGTATCTTGGAGAAAAGAAATTAACAATTGCTGATGGAATTAGCCACGAAAAATATTCCGTTAGTAATTTCCGTCATAGATCCGTCAAAATTGCCATGGGATTCTAACGGAATTTGCCATGGATTTCTGACAGAAATTACTGACGGAATATTTCCGTGGCTAATTCCATTGGTAATTCCATTTCCGACGGAATTAGCTACGGAAATATTCCGTCAAATTTGTCAGAAATCCGTGGCAAATTCCGTCAGTGACTTTTCCGACAGAATTTGCCACGGATTTTCGATGGATTTTTGCGACGGAACATCTTCCGTCAGTAAATCCATT